CCAGCTGTGTTTTCTGTGATCAAGACTAATGGCTGAGCGTTCGATGGCTGGAGCTGTGCTGCCCCCGTCTGGATACTCATCACATCTCACCAAATATTATAATTATTTTTTCGCGTTTCTTTTATATATTATTATATATAATATTTAACATAATATAATATTTTTAATATATAATATATATATATTTTTTTTATTATATTAATTTAAGTTTGAATTATTTTTGGTTTAATTAATTTAATTAATTTCTAGCTCACCGAGCGCAGTGTTGTGGTGTTTATGAGGTCAGAGTTTCTGCTTTGGTGACGCGTGACGTTGACTCTCTCGCTCTGTGTTTTTGTTTTCCCAGCATGCCGAGCGTCTGTCCGCCGCTGACGAGAGACGAGCGCCGTGAACATCTTCAGGTCAGTCTCACCTCAGTGTTTCTCTCAGATCTGGTGAGTTTCTGGTGCTGTCGTAGCGCTGCGGTGTGTTTAGCGGCCCGCGGCTGAGAGCTGCCCTACATCTCAGACGAGTCGTTACACAACAAACCCTGCTCACGCATGAGTGAACGTCTCAATCTCTGTGTGCTTCATTCACACACACACACTCTTACACTGGACAGTTAGTGTGAAAGATTTTTCATGTTACGTGTTACAAATACAATCTGAATGTTTTATTTTGTGCATTACAGGATCTCCTTTGGCCACCATGTTAATGTTAATTAACAATATTAATATGCCTACTGTGTACAATTTCAACAACAACTTTCCTTAATCATACCGTTCAGTTTTACCAGAAACACATCTACTTGTTAAATATACTAATTTTCTATAAATAATAAGGGAATTAATGTTATACTTTTTTAGAAAGCAAATTAATTAAATTATAAGGTAATTTATACTTTTTTGTTTTTACTTTTAAAAAGCTAATTTCTACTTAAAGTAAAATTTTAATTATCTTGTTAAATCTAATATAATTTTTAGATTTTATAATTATATATTTTGGCTTTCACAGTAAAAGTGTAAAATTACATGTGCAGTATTATCTACATATTTTCACTGTAAATATAATTTATATAAATGCATTGTGTTCTCTTCTAAAAGGCATAATTTCTACTTCTAAATTGATTTTGATTATCTTATTTAATCAAATATAAATTTACATTTAAATTATATTATGTATTTTAAATTACATATTTTTATTAACTTTCAAAGTGTATTTTACAGTAAAATGTACATATACACATTTATTTATTATGAAAATATACATAATACTGTACATGTACATTTTTACATGCGCGCACACACACACACACACACACACACAGACACAGACAGACACACAGACACACTCACACACACACACACACACACAGACACAGACACACACAGACACTCACACACAGACACAGACACACAGACACAGACACAGACACACACAGACACTCACACACAGACACAGACACACAGACACAGACACAGACACACACAGACACTCACACACAGACACAGACACACAGACACAGACACAGACACACACAGACACTCACACACAGACACAGACACGCTCACACAGACACAGACAGACACACAGACACACTCACACACACACACACAGACACACACACACTCACACTCACACACACACAGACACAGACAGGCACACACAGACTCACACAGACACACTCTCACACAGACTCTCACACACACACACACACACACTCACACTCACACACAGACACAGACAGGCACACACAGACACACACACACACTCACACAGACACACTCTCACACAGACTCTCACACACACACACACACACAGACACAGACACAGACACACTCACACACACACAGACAGACACACACAGACACAGACACACACACACAGACACACACACACACTCACACACACGCAGACACAGACACACTCACACACACACAGACAGACACACACAGACACTCACACACAGACACAGACAGGCACACACAGACTCACACAGACACACTCTCACACAGACTCTCACACACACACACACACACACGAATTTATATAAATTAATTATTCTAAAAAGCTTCCATAGTATTATTTGATAAATTTAATATACAAAAACATTTTTTTCACTGTGAGTGATAAGGTAACTTACAGATGTTTACTGTAGCATATTTACAGTCTTTTTTCAAATTAAACATTACTTTTTTAAAGTTAAGACACAACGGATAAAAGAAGAAATGAAGAGAAAAGACATGATAAAAGAGAGAGATAGAAAGAGAAGCATCAATTCTGGATCGAGGGAATAGAAAAGAGCGATGAAAGGAGACGAATAGAGGGACATTTGAATATATATATAAATAGAGAAGAGAAACAGAACCGATACGTTACAAAAGAGCTTCTGGATCTTATTTTACCGACTGAATGAGATTTCAGAGAGAAATCGAGGGTCTGATTACAGCAGAGAGACGGGCTTCAGTGTGTGAGACGCACGTGTGTGTGTGTGTGTCCACGAGAAAGAGCTCTTTCTCTCTCACACACACACACACACACACACACTCGACTCCTCCTCCTCTCTTTCCTCTGTGTCCGGCTCATCTCGCTGCTGTTTCTGTCTCAGGAGGAGAGACTGAGAGACGCGTGTCCTCCGGAGGAGCCCCATCTCAGACGCCTGGAGGAGGAGATCGCCAAGGTGCTTTACAACACTTTAACACTGTCTCATGGCTTTATATTACCTGTTTGGTTTACTGTGTGATGTTTGCATGCTAGTTTTAATTAATGTTAGATTTTTGCACATTCTCGGCTAATGATGCACTGAATTTGTTTTTTTTTTATTAAAATTTTTTTAACCAAAAGTTTTCATTTAGACCAAAACCATAACCAAAAATAATGCTT